ATAACGAAGATACACTTCTATATATGGAGGTTTCCTGAAATGGGGGTTCCCCCAGTCATCATCCATTTTTGTTTAGGATTTTCCATTGTAAACCATCAACTTTTGGGGTACCACCATTTATCATCATTAATCATCATTAATCATCATTATTGATCGTTATTAACCATTGTTAATCATGGCTCAGCAATTTATTAACCATTCATCATCACTAAACTTCATGTCCATCCCATATACACTATGATGCAAAGAATTAAAACTAGGTTCAATAGATGGAAAGGGTCTATATGACCATGTATGATATCAAGAATTAAAACAGAAGTTAATTCTGTGTAATCGTCATTAACAACTTTATAGATCATTATTCATGGTGAAAAAATATTAACCATTCATCATTATAAATTGTGTCCATAAATAAATGATGGTGATTAATGATGATGATGATGATACATGATAATTATTAACCATTAATTTATGGAAACCTCCTATGGTTTTCCCATGAATATCTCTCCCATGGCCATCTCCCGAGGCCGGCACCCAGCAGCGAGCGCGAGGCGCTGCGCTCCACTTGCAGCATGGAGGTGGCCACGTCACGACGGGAACATTCCAACATCCAAATCCAGCCTGAGACGAAAATGCCATGGAAAACATGGGAAAAAATTGGTTTTTGCAATGGAAAAATTGGAAAATATCACTTTTTGCCATGGAAAACATGGGAAAATATGGATTTTTGCCATGGAAAATTGGGAAATATCACTTTTTGCCATGGAAAACATGGGAAAATATGGGTTTTTGCCATGGAAAATTGGGAAATATCACTTTTTGCCATGGAAAACATGGGAAAAATCAATGGTTTTCATGATGTATGGTGTTTTTTTCGAATAATGAATGGATAGAAGAAAAGCAATAATCAAATAGTGCTTCATGGAGTTGAGTGGGGTTTAATGGAGCTGTAGGAGGGTTTAGCTGATGATATTACTTGGGTTTAATAAGGTTTCATGGGATATAATAGTTAGGGTAGTATATAATAGCTATATTGGCATAGAATACTTAGAATGCTATACTGATATCTAAATCTATCTGTAATAAATCTTGGGCGACACGGCAATAAAAATTGACAAATCATTGGTGAATGTGGAGATATTCTTTGTTTAATAGGGTTCAGTTGGCGTTGAATAGTGTTTTACAAGGTTTAATGGGGCGTTAATGGAAAACTACCATAGAAATTACTTTCCTTCGAGTGATCCCCACCGAGACAAAGTTTTTTGTCATAGTTTCCGACATCTCATCTGGAAGTATATGGCATGTATTTTCCGACGTTCTTTTCTGGCATTCTATCTGGCATCTATTCTGACATCCTATCTGGCATCCTTTCTGGCATCTACTCTGACGTTTTCTGTGGCATTCTACCTGACATTCTTTCTGATCTGGCACTGCCGGACCTCGAGCTCGCGAGGACCGAGATCTGGAGCTCGCAGTTGAGGAACAGCAGTGCCCACTCAAGTTGACTAGTTACAAGCAGCATCTCGCAGCGCTTTTTGTTCCCACAGAAGTTAAGAACAGCTCAAAAAAGGGACCATGATAAGTTTTCCTCCCGCGGTTTGGGCTGAGTAAAGAAGTTTCTAAGGGGATGAATGTTTTGAAGGGGATCGATTGCGGGACTGCATCCTATGACAAGCTTGGAACCAAAAGGGTCTTGAATGTCTTGCTGATAGGTTGACTGATTCACTGACTCACCCACTCACTGCCTGAATCGTGGCTGGACGGAGCGTGGAATTAGATTGTCTGGAATGTCTAAATTGGTCCATAAAAATAGATTATGGGTGCTATCTCGATGCTCTGCGCTGCTGTCCTTGAACATACTCATCAAATGCAACCAAAAATTGATTATAAAATGGATAAGAACCTATAGTAACCGCATGTAACTACTAAATTTTAAATACGTGGAAAACACCTGGCGCTTCTTTCGTTTTGATTCATTGATTCTCACACATTCTCACCTAGCAATTTGACTAACTCAATGGCGAAAAACTACTTTGAAATTCGGTGGTCACCCCGTTCCGAGAGGCTTAACCTGGGGTGAAGCCTACTCATTATGATGAATTTGATACCAATATTGGAAGCTGGTTGGTGGTTTTAGCCATCTTGAAAAATATTAGTCAGTGGGAAGGATTATCCCATATATTATAGAAAATAATTACTTCACTTCGAATGATCCCCACCATAACATTTATACATGTTCTTACTGGCAAATCTTCTGGCATTCTATCTGACATATTTTCTGGCATTCTATCTGGCATTCTATCTGGCATATCTTCTGGCATATGTTCTGGCATATCTTCTGGCGTATCTTCTGGCATTCTATCTGGCAAATCTTCTGGCATTCTATCTGGCATATCTTCTGGCATTCTATCTGATATTCTATCTGGCATATCTTCTGACATTTCTTCTGGCATTCTATCTGGCATATCTTCTGACATTTTTTCTGGCATTCTATCTGGCATTCTATCTGGCATATCTTCTGGCATATGTTCTGGCATATCTTCTGGCGTATCTTCTGGCATTCTATTTGGCAAATCTTCTGGCATTCTTTCTGACATGCTTTCTGGCATTCTATCTGGCATATCTTCTGACATTCTATCTGACATCTTTTCTGACATTCTTCCCGTTGAGGTCCGGCAGTGCCCACTGCGATCTGGAAGTCGCGGTTGAGGTCCGGCAGTGCCCACTGCGATCTGGAAGTCGCGGTTGAGGTCCGGCAGTGCCCACTGCGATCTGGAAGTCGCGGTTGAGGTCCGGCAGTGCCCACTGCGATCTGGAAGTCGCGGTTGAGGTCCGGCAGTGCCCACTGCAACCTGGAAGTCGCGGTTGAGGTCCGGCAGTGCCCACTGGGATCTGCAACTCGCGGTTGAGGTCCGGCAGTGCCCACTGGGATCTGGCGCTCGCGGTGGAGGTCCGGCAGTGCCCACTGGGATCTGGACTGCGAGGAGGAGGAGGAGGAGGACGAGGAGGAGGAGGATGCGGAGGCGGAGGAGGAGGAGAACAGCTCTGATAAAATCTAACAACCCTCACCTGGCAGGTGGGGAAAAAATGTTTGAAACCACCAACCAGATATTTTACATCCAAATCAGACCTGGAGTGGCTAGCAGGTTTTGCCAGCCTGCTGCATCTGCCAATCTTAGGATAACCTAAACCACACCATCCGTTGGAAACTGGTTGGTGGCATCAACCCCTCTGAAACATATTAAAGTCAGTTGGGGTTATTATTCCCAACTGAATGGAAAGTCATAAAATTCATGTTCCAAACCACCAACGAAAGTTATGTAAATTCTTGATCTGAATCCGTAGCTCCGCTAGAGCAGAGATCTGCACACGGACTCATCCTTTTCCCATCCTCATTTGATTGTGTGCCCTCTTGTTTTTCTCATAGCACCATCCATTAAAATCCTATCTTCACCATCATGTTTGGGCGATTCCAGAATTATACCAGAATTATTTTCGGGCGATTACCATCTGACTGGTGAAATTATAACCAGCATTTTTCCGAGGCGCAGCAGAAGGACACCAGGAAAAAGGCAAAGGTGGACATGAGCTCATTTCTCACCTGGGAAACGGGTTGGAAGGTCTAAGTCTACACAACGTTGGAACACATTTGGGGGATTCCTAAAATGGGGGTACCCCCAAATCATCCATTTCATAGGATTTGCCATTAAAAAACATCCATTTTGAGTACCCCGATTTATGGAAACCCCCATTTGTAACTAGACAAGGGATGGCTTGATGGTTGACAAAAATACTATATCTAACAATACTTTATAGTATATACGTATAGTCTATAGTTCAATGGATTTGATGGAAAGCCTACACAGGAAGGGGGTCCCACAACAGGAGAGCAGCAATAAGTTGGTAAAACTAATTAGATCCAATTAGGCTATTGCTTGCTGGTTGGTGGTCTCAACCCCCCTGAAAAATACTAGTCAATGGCAAGGATTATCCTATATATTATGGAAAATAAGAAATGTTCCAAACCACCAACCAGATTGGATTTAGGGTGAAACTATCTATAGCTAGATGGGAAAGCAACTTGCAACTGGTAAGACCCTCTCTGCAGGAACCCATGCTTTTACTAGCCAAATCTGGCTTGCTTTAGGTATGGATGGAACTGTTAGATAGAACAGCAGCAAAATGAAAATATCGACAAGCAATGGTGGAGGTATTTGAACCACAAAAAAAATCCTTTTCCATCCTTTTCTCATTAAATCCATCCCTACACACCCTGGTTTGGATCTATCAATTGGGGTCTGATAAGGGTGGCATCGAAAATCAATCAGGATCTCATTTTTCAGGAAACATCGGATGAAAACTATGTTTCTTTCGCAGCAAACTTACGTTTTTCTGTGATTGCCTTCTTTCATCCGAAGCTTGGATTGAACCAGCAGCACAGTTGGATACAGTTACTGGTTGGTGGTTTTAACCATCTTGGAAAAATATGAGTCAATGGGAAGGATTATCCCATATATTATGGAAAATAAAAAATGTTCCAACCACCAACCAGATTAGATTATTGTAACCAACAAATAAAAAGGGGTAATGCAGTAATTAACAGTCCCGGTAACAGAGTTGGACGCGATTTGATTGGTGATGGACCAGGAGATAATCTGTATCCGCGCTGAACATCCACCGTCAACATGGAACATGCCAAAAAAATAAGCGCTTCTGTCACTGCAAGCCTCAATGACTTACAATTTGAGTACCCGTTCGTCAACTTATATGACAACATATGTCCAAAAATGGAACAGACCTCAGAATTGCAAGTGAAACGATAAAACATGATGATACGATCCTTCTCCATTTTCAATGAAATCCATATATGGTAAACCTAATGCCATGAGCCATCCCCAAATCTACCAGAAATGGATGTGATGACAATCATCCCCGGTTGCGTTGCTGCATATTGGTTAGTATATGTAAACCTATTCATCAACCAACCATCATACATTAAAACTTCCCCAACCTAAATGCATCCCCCACCATATTATGATTATTACGGAGGTTCCTAAGTCATGGGGGTACCATTATAAATCACCCGTTTGTCCGGATGTTCCATGAAATCAAGCCACAAGAGAGGCCCAATCGCCCTGCATGATGTCCATTTCCTGACAGTCGACATGGAAAATGGCAGGATATAACACTTCAATGGAGGCTTCTTACAATGGAAGGGGGCCCAAAGTGTTGGTTTCAAACCTAACATGTCAATGTCCATTTCAGGAACCAATTGATTGGAGGTACCTACCATATAGAAGGCTTATTTTTCAGGCCTAAATTGCAGGGAATATCCTAGAAAAAAATGTGAAAAAAAAACAAAAAAAGGTACGTAAACAACTTAAACAACGTAGCTCCGTTTTAGGATCCCGAAATAATTTCATTCCCATTGATATATGGGATGGATATGAGGAAATCCATGATGGTTTCTGCAATGGTCCCATCCATTGGATCCCGAAATCTAATTCCAGACGGCTAAGAGTTTTCGAACAGTTTTTGATATAACTCAGAATTATATATCACTTATAACAGGAGTGTTAGATATATAAGAGTTATTTATAGTTATATGAGATTCCTATAAGAGGAGTTAGTTCTCCTACAACTATGTTCATATATCACGTTGAGGTGGATGCCCAATCTCCAAACACAGCCAATCTCACCATAGGGTATCAATATGCTCCATTTTTTGGGTATATCGTGAATGGATCATCTTGGTGCAAATGTTGGTAGATATACCAACCATCCAACCATCGAGCAAGTGAAATGAAGCGGGAACAGTTTTTTCTGTTCCATGCAGGACCTTGGTTTTAGGGGCATCCATGCAACCCCGATTTTGTGGATCCCTGTAGTACAGTAGGCATGATCATCCCTTATAATGCGAAAGATATTGGATAAAACCAACATGGGAAAAAACATATGATCATCATGTTATACTATGTATTGAATTAACATCAATCATTAACAGTGAGCTATTCTAGCACAATAGTTGTATTCATACTATCATATAGTGAGTTATAGTACCGTATCATAGAGTCAAATATCCCCAATATATATCTGGTTGGTGGTTTCAACTTCAACCCCTCTGGAAAATATTAGTCAGTTGGGATTATTATTCCCAATATATGGACAAATAAAAAATGTTGTCCCCGATATGTGGGAATGGATCAAAATTGGGTACCCCAATTATATATTGGATACAAATCAGGCTACAGATAGACTTGAATCTGTGGTTCCCCAGGTTTTTTAAACATGACCCATAACAGTACTGGATAAAAACACCACACCATCATCATTCGTCAGTAACTGGTTGGTGGTATACCTACCCTCTGAAAAATATGAGTCAGTTGGGATGATGAAAATCCCAATATATGGAAAAACAAAAAAATGTTACAAACCACCAATCAGGTAACATTATATGACCAATAGGAATCATTAATCAACAATATCATCATGAATATATGATTTTATAAATCTATAGAACCATAGTTAAATTTGCTATACTTTACGACTATATATAACCATACTCATGATGTTTCACCATATCATCACATAACCAGGTAACCAAAATTAAATATGGAGTGTGTATATATACATATATATATATATCTATCTATCTATATATATATATATATATTATAAATATATAGCCGTATATGGAGGTTTCCCCAAAATGGGGGTTCCCCAAAATGGATTGTTTATAATGGAAAATCTATCTATACATGGATGATTTGGGGGTAGCCCCATGACTTAGGAAACCTCCATATGTCCCATTAAAATGCAATTTTTGTTATAACATCCCCCCATTTTCAAAGACATATATATATATATATATATAGCCATATGTTTATGATGCTTAACTTACTTGTGCTAAACGTAGGGAATTTTAGGAAATAATCCACAATACAGTATCAATCATATTCCCAGCAACCCACAGCAACCCCCAGCCATCCATTCCCTACGGACTTAGCACCAGTAAAATTATTGGGTTAATATCCCATTCCCCCATTCCCTACTGATATCTTTGGGGAAAAAAGTCAACTGGTATTAGCATTCCTATTTTTTCCAGTGAATTTATATATCTAGTGAATCTAGTTATTAGCTTATAAAACCAGTCATATCTCAATGATGACGAGTCCTATCCCTAGAACCATCGCCTCGAAAACCCGTTCCGTTAGTTACCTCGTTACCGTTGCGTTAAGGATCACCCGAGGCCGTCGAAAAGATGATGGACAGAGAGATGATCAAATTCCAGGCCTTGGAGAAATGGCCGGGGGGAAATCTGAGTCGACTGGTGAGTGAATGATGGTGAAAACCATAGGAAAACCATAGAAAAATATGGAGGTCTCCATAAATGTTCATGATGGTGAATGGTGAAAAACAATGGTTAAGAATGGTCAATAATGATCAATATTGATGATTCATCTGGTTGGTGGTTTCAACACCCCTCTGAAAAATATGAATTCGTCAGTTGGGATCATGACATTCCCAATATATTGTAGCTTTATAGGGCATATCATGATTAAACAAATCAGAAAATTGGGGGTCTATTTTCAGAAAAAATCGAAAAAACTTGATGGATAGTTGATATTTCAACTAATTTAGGATATTCCGGTGGCAGATGAAACAAATCACAAAATGACAAAGCACAATGCAGCTACACATTCAAATTAGCAAACGGGTGTATCATGATCAAGTCAACACCATTGTGGGGAGTTAGGAATATAATGCAAGGCTTTCTGGGAAGGGATAAGGAACACCCAAACACCCTTGGACATGATTAAATCATTCACATTATTGGAGGGTGTACTGGTCCTGGTATTTGTTGCCTGAAAAATCGAAATGGAACGAAATGGCTGTGTACCATGATCTAGTTATATCTGCACATGTGGGATACAATAAGATATATTCTGTAAGACAATCATGATGGCGCCTTCAAACGAGAACCATTAAGTGGTTAACGGGAGAATAGGTTCACTGTTGGGGTTCATCCTCCTGTGATTTAACCATTCCCAACTTGTGAACAAGTATGGTTACCAAGTCCCCTCAGTGGGATATGGTCCAAAAAACTATTGCCGCACACCAGTAATATCACCAACCAAAAAATGATAGTACTATAATAAGGGTAATGAATATCACCAACCTTGTATATTACTATATTGTATATACACATTCTGGATGAATGATAGTAATTCACCAACCTGAAATAAGCTTACCATATCTTATGATGGAATAGTTGCCCCAAAAGCTATCATTCACAGTGGCGTCGCAGTGAGGTTATTTTCTGATATAGCAATATATCCATATAATGCCACATATATATATAATGCAAATCACCATGTGCCCAAATATCATTATTGGTTGAATACTATCATAAATACAATTTCTTTCATGCACCATTATACCATCATTATTTGTTATATATACATCCATTATACCTATCATAAAATGCCATTTCTCCCACTCACGTCCTTTCTCCGTTTTCATGATTCTCCCTTTGCCAAGGTACGAGGACGGACAAAGGGTGAAAGTGACACACCGCCAGCAGTAGCCGCGGAAGCATCAGGAGATTCTCGTCCTGGGATTTGAAACAAAGAAAGGAATTGATAGACAACCATCACAGAAAAACATAGAAATGTTCTTAATCCCACCAAAATAGTGATACATCAAACATTGAAAAAGTACCGTCTGTTGTCTCTTTTTGGGAACTATATAGTACCCATATCTTGAAAAATACAGCAACATGGGGATCATAAACAACAAACGCCTCCATTGATCGTGGATTCCCACCAGGTTTGATTCAGGCTTGATGACCTAAAGATCTCCCGAAGTCGTTTTTGTATTCACCGGCCTGAAACAAGGTGCCGGAAAAACCTTTTCTACAATGTGGCGCCCAACAGTTGGGTTATAGACCTGTTTAACTGGTTCGTTTTACGCATTACTGGTTGGATCTTGAAAAATAATAGTCAATGGGAAGGATTATCCCCCATATTATGGAAAATAAAACATGTTTGAAACCACCAACCAGATTATAAATTATAAACCATAGTTCTTGGACCTATTTGACCAACTTAGCTATCTCGGGAGCCCCACTTTGTAGCCATCTCTGTTGATGTCGTGGGAAGATTGTCGCACTCCACTCAGCAAAACCAACCCAAACCCAGGCTTTACAGCCATGCTTGTGCCCAGGCTTTACCACTCTCGTCCCAATAAAGCCATGTGGAAATAGCTATGAAAAGAACATTTTGTAGATATGTGGAAACTGTTCCGTGTAGCTATGGTAGAAAATACATCAAACACCATGGTGGAACTTGTTTTCTATGCAGAAAATCACCTTAAATAAAGTAACCCCAATAAATTTCATGGCCCCAAAAAAAACTCATCCGTAGCATAGTCTGAATAGTCCCAGAATGGGATGAACTCCGCTTAAAATGAACACTTCCGTAATACTACAAATGGGATTTTATAAATACTAAATATTTACCACTAATGGTATTAATACATATTAATACTATATAATGGGATTATAGTGAACAAAAATTAAAATACTATAAGCAAATTTATTTTCTGGGATTTTTCATGGGTGATTTATTACAGGATGGTGCCCTAAGATGTTAAAAAAACTGGTTTTTAAAGCCCATGAAAACTATAATATATACCATCAACCATCAACCATCGAATTCAGCCGCCTATATCTCAACTGAACGCTATCGACTGGGGGCACCATCCTGTATGGCATTGCACTACATTACACTACACTCCACAACACTACAACTACAACAACGCAACTACACTCCACTACACTCCACTACACTATATTACACTACACTACACTACACTCCACTTCACTACATTACACTACACTGCACTACACTACCTTCCACTACACTTGACTACATTACACTACATTACACTACACTACACCCCACTACACTACAACTACAACTACACAACTACACTCCAC